TTATGCTGATACTTTAAGGAAGAGTATAGCAATGCCCTGCTTTGATTGATACAAGGAGAATAAGTTCTTGGCTAGAATATTTTTGGTATTTGGTACTTTTCCCTGATAAAGGAAGTTTTTAATTTTGGGGTGATTCTGCCATGTCTATACTTGCATGTTTCTTTTAAAATATCTGCCTGTAATTGTTCTTGTAGATTACACTTTCATCAACCTGGATTTTAGGACTTTTCCCTGTAAAATAGTTCATTTTCTGCTTTTTTTTTTTGTAGGTAGAAAAAGGTACAACCTTCTCCTGAAACCCCCACTGATAGTGCTGCTTGGATTTTGTGATTGTGCATTGTTCATATTGCATTTTAAAATGGGCTCAGGTGAGGTCGGCCATGATTCCCACTCTGAGAGTTAATAGTGGGAGAAGGCATTGGATATTCAGTGTCCAGCAGATAGTGAGGGGAGTGAGAGCTCTACAGAAGCGTTCTCAAATGGGGGCAGCTGCTTCGGTGATGGGCAGCAGCCATCACATCCAGTGTTGAGCAGACCTGGGGTACGTGCTGGTAGGGGTGTCCTTCCTCTTTCATGTTGGTGTTTGTATTTCCCCTCATGAGCCTTGGGGCAGCGAAAGAGTCCAACATTGTTGAGGCTTAAAGGTGAGTGTGGGGCTGGGGGGTATGTGTCAGAAGCAGCAGCTTGGGTAGGAATTCTGGATGGGAATGTTGATATGGAGTAAGACAATCTCCTGTTGGAGTATGAGCTGGACTCTTGCTGATACTGATGTACATTAGTGGAGGTTGGCACCAGTGAGTCTGTGTGCTGTGCTATATGGTGTAGTATATGAGCTGTAGAAGCAGTGTGTGCAGTGTTTGGTGTGTTGCAAAAGCAGTGTGCATGTGTTGGCTGTGCATTGTGTAGGGTGTGCTGCAGAAGCAATGTGTGCATGTGTATAGTGGGCAGCACATGCTTTGGTGTGTGCTGCAGAAGCAGTGTGCATGTGCTATAGAAGCAGTGTGCATTTGCAGTGTGTACTTTCTGTGGGGTGTGTGTGCTACAAAAGCGTTCATGTTTGGTGTGTGCAGTGTGTGGTTTGTATGCTGCAGTCTGTGTGGCGTGTGCAGCATGTGGTGTGGAGACTTGTGGTCCTTTCTCTGGATGGCCTTTAAGATGTTCTTGAGCACTTACAGCAATTGAGGAAGCTTTCTTTTTTTTCTTGGTAGTTGTTTGTATTTTAGAAAATAAGAGTTTTCCTTGGTAGGACGTAATTTTTGATGGGTCATTTTTTACAAGAGACCTTAAGGCTTGGTGTGCAAGATTCACACTGTTTTTTTAATCATTATCCTTTTTGAACATTGAAGCGTTTGCACATTGCTGCTACCTATCATTATTATTGTAATCTCAGTATCCTCTCTGTTCCTCCTTCCCATTTTAAGGATGAGCAACCTGAGGCCAGAGTGCTTCAGTAAGTTGTGTAAGGCAATAACCAGCAGGGGGCAGCCTTCAAGTTCAGAAAGGTTATCTGTCCTCACAGAACAGTATTGCCTCCTTCTCACTTACATGCCTTGTCATATTAGTTCAGCCCTGTCTCTCTTTCTCCCTGAGAGACTAGAGAGATTTCTCAAATTTTTATTTTTATTTTTAAAAGTATTTTAATATTCTGGGCCTCTTCTATCCTGATTTCTTTATGGTTTGTATTGTATTTCATTATGTAGTATTGTCTCTAGACCACTCAGATTGAAGGAATTTCAGATTAGACAGCTTTGGTCGGGTCTCAGCCCTCTTCCTGGAGGGTGAAGGACTCCCTTGCCCCCATACCTGTTCTCATTCTGGAATCTGCATCTATTAAAAGTAAAATATTAAAAATAAACTATAATGTTTTTAGTATTATGAGTTTTTTTGGTTGGAATATTGATCGTATTTTTGTTGTTGTTGAGAATACTGGATCATTCTACTGCACACGTAATTCACTTAAATGTAAAAGTGAGGGTGAGTTTTTGGTTAATGTACTTTTCCAACTGGGTAGATTCTAAGATCTATGGGGTATTTGTGTGTTCCCTCCTTACTGTGTTTATAAGGGACATGCGTGAAAGGTGGGCCTGCCTAGGGAGAGGATTCAGGACACTTTCCTCATCTCCTCAGGGAGGTGGTTCTCACCCTTGGGTGCTCAAAATCACCTGGAGAGCATTAACATGGGTCTCTTCCCTGGAGACTCTAATTAAATTGGTCTGAGATGGGCTGGATTTTGTAAAGTCGTCTTGGTTTAGAAAAGTCCCAGGAAATCCTAATGTGCAGTCCCTCCTGATAATCACTCTCCCAATACCACCTGAAGAAAAGGAACCACTGTGTTTGTTTCCTTCCTTCCGGCTTGCTTGCTCTATATTCCAGCCAGAGGTGAGAGTGTGCTGCTCTGAGAGCATCAGTGGTTAGGCCATGAGGTGGGCCAGCCTTCCAGGGTTTTTATCTCCTTAACGACCGAGTGACCCAGGAGATAATTTAGTGTGCTAAGTGTCCTGGTCCTTCTCAGATATAGGCTGACTTATTTTTGCAGAGATATTTCTATAAAAGTTCTAATGAGACTTTCTCTTGTTCTCATAGTACACTTTCTCAGGGCCCTAAGATTTTTCTGGTTTTGCTTTTTGTTCAGTAGATTCATATTTCAGGAAGTAGTCTGTTATCTTTCTCTGGAGAAGCACTTTTTAGTCAAAACATTTTATTGACTCAGAATATGCATTATTTTCCTCTTAGTGGCAAGCATTTGTCTCATTTCATTGTGTAGTTTCCTGTTAAGAAATGTAGGATATGTGTGAATTCACTTAATTTCTGACGTCACATTGAACCCCATTGGTGGGCAGTTTTAGCCAACCAGACGCTTCCTGGTATCCAAGTAAGAAAGGTATATAGTTCTGGAATAACAGGAAACTTCAGTATTCAACATCCTGTTTTTCTGGGTTTTATGACTTGCTGCTTCTCCACAATGAAGGTTAGTAGACAATTTATGTAGATTTCTTTTTGTAGAATACCACAGTTTTAATTTTCCAGGCTCTAGAATTATAATTTTAGAGCTGAAAGACTGCTGCAGATCACCTACTCCAGCATTTTACAAGTAACATGTTCTACATGTAAGGAAACTGAGGTCTACTGAGGTTAATACTTTTAATTCTTTAAAAAAAATAAATAGCCCATTTAAAAAAATGTAGGTGGATATGTCAGCCTAGATAATGCTCTGATTTGACTTGGAATTCCTTTAAAAATAAGTATCAGAATAAATGAATTAAGTTGTATATTGTAAGATAGTTCTTAAGACTGTTCTAAGGGCTATCTCTTTTTATAGGAAGGATCTGGTATTCATGAAATTAGCTTTATTTTGTATTTCAACTATGTGAGATATGGCATCAGTCATTGTATACAGAATGCTTAGATGTATTCATATCTTTTAAGTCTTGTGGTTCCATTTAGTTTCCTCTTTCAGCTTTTACAAAAAGCTGCGTTTTCAGCTCCTCTTGACTCAGTGATTTGATGCCTTCCTTTCTTGAAGTTTTTCAACTTCTGAATTTTCTTATTTTGTTGTTTGTTCGTGTTCAAAACAAACCTCCTATTTCAGAAATTACAGGCAGAAGATCATTACTGAAGATGATTTTTGAGAAACCAATAATTACTCAGATTTGGAATGGCTCTTCGTAGCTGTTCTTTATGTGAATGGCACTCACGGTGACATTTAGTGCAGCTAAATAAATGGTGGATGGGTGGATGGATTGGTGCATTTAATTCATTCAGCAAATAACTTGAATTTTTACTGTACTGGTCATTTTGCTAGATGTTGTGTGTTGTAAATCTGGCTTTGTAGACTTGACAGTATAGAGGGGCATATACACATTAAATGTAATGTTGTCTTTGTGATGAATGTGCTGGCAGGCCCTGGGTAGGGGACCTAACTGAGTTTGGGGAAGGAAGTGAGGCTGGGGGAAGTCCGATGAGTAAGAGTTAGCCAGGAAAGAGATGGGGGCTGGGAGGCAGGAAAGGGGGTGGTCCTGCCAGGACCCATGAGGTAGAGGAATTGACCAAATGAGGAGAGAGGTGGCAGTTAGCGGGAGAGAATGTCTGGGCCCTCCTGTGCTGATATTCATTCTTGGATATCTAGTCATGTTGGTTTGTTTTTGTCCCACTGAGAGAAACTTTTGGAAATATGTTAACACAATTTACATTTTGGTGGATCTAAATACCATATCTTTTTGTTATTTGCATCTTTGAAATAGTTTCGTAATTTTTTTCTGGCTGAGTTGTGGGTTATTTGATTATTGAAAAAAAATTTTTGTGTGGAGTTTATTTGGTGATGAAAAGCTATATGTAATTTTCAGATAGTGTATGGGAATGAGCTCTTGTTTATTTTAATGTGTGTGTGCATTGGGGCTGCCTCATTTTCCCCTTGTCTCTAGGCCACTCAGATTGAAGGAATTTCAGATTAGATAGTTCTGGTCGGGCCTCAACCCTCGTCCCTGAGGGTCAAGTACTCCCTTGTCCCATACCTGTTCTCATTCTGGAATCTGCATCTTTTTATCTTCCCTCCCTTTTACTCTCATCCATTCTGATGCCTGTGTTTCTCTTTTGCTGCTGTTAGCTTTGGAATTGACTGTGACTAGGAGAGGAAATTGGTAGTGTGCCTGCCATGTGGCCTCTGCCTTAATCTAAAAAGAGAAGGATTGGGAAAACACCCCAGATTCACTGAGTGCTGGCATAATTGGCTCCCTAACTTGGGAAGGGCTTCCACTCCAGGTTATGAAGGAGTTTGGGGAGTTGGTCTCTGGCCCAGGTTTAAGGTATATGTAAGGGAATTCCGTTGGACCTCCCACCCCCAGACTGGAAGCTGAGCTCACCGGTCCTGATTTTTCAAGTTGTGCTGCATTTTTATGATTTTACCTGGAAATCCTACATGTGGTTCTCTCATTTTGCAAAAACTTGGTTTATCCTGCACCCAACACAAGACTCTATTAATTTTGTTTAATTTTTCCTTTCAGACATTTGATGCAAATGATTTGTACCAGGGGCAGAATTTTAACAAGGTCCTCAGTTCCTTAGTGACTTTAAATAAAGTAACAGCAGGTAAGATCTTTTTTTAATTGAACTTGACGGGGTGTGAAGACAAAAGGGCAAAACCTTTTCTTTTAGCAAGACAAATGAGCACTAATAAAATTCAAAGAAATAAGCTTCTATTGCATTACATTTTTGGTTGTCACTTTTGCTGGGATTTTTTTTCTTATTAGAACAGAATCTTCCATTTTAGGTCCTCAGATGGATATCAGGTGTTTTCCTTTCTGTGGGCAGAGTAGTTACTACCTGAAAACAGACCAAAGGAGAAATGTCTCATTCATGTGGCTACACTTCCTCTGGATTTTTATTAGGCTGATTAAAACTCATATTTATTAGCAGATCTAATGACTATTTTTGAGGTGTGATCATGACAGTGGAGTAGCCAGTGAATTGGCCTCTAAAGTAAATACCTACCTGGGCAAAGTTTCCAAAGGGCTATGAAAGTACGTACTCAGGGTACTCGGTTCACAGTGTTCTGAACTCCAGTCATCTCTCATGGAGAGGGTGAGTGGAGGTGGGGTGTACACAGTATACTCCTCTGGCTCCCAGACCAAAGTGAGGACAAGAGAGATTCTGTGCAAATTCCTCATGGTCTATAACTGTCCCATGAGCTCCGAGAAGTTCTATCTTGTGGATCTAAAAGAAGGACTTAGTGGCTCTTTTGTTTTAAGGTCATTTTTATTTTTCTTACAGATTTTAGTTTTAGATTTCTGGGGGAAAGTTAGACTTTGATATGTCTTTTTTGATCAGAGACCTCTTAAGTTTATTTTGTCATGGTTTCTTCCCATTTGTGTCCTGGCCCTTCAGATGGAGTGTACTCACTTCATTGTGTCCGGGAGGAACTGAGTCAGAACACTTTGGGCTACAATCTTGGCTGGGAGGTCCTCTGCACTCAGGAACTATCCCTGGTGCTCCTCACAGCACTTGTTTGCTGGGATGCCTATCTAGGGCAGCCGTGGGCAAACTACGGCCCGCGGGCCGGCCTGTTTGAAATGAATAAAACTAAAAAAAAAAAAAAAGACCGTACCCTTTTATGTAATGATGTTTACTTTGAATTTATATTAGTTCACATAAACACTCCATCCATGCTTTTGTTCCGGCCCTCCGGTCCAGTTTAAGAACCCATTGTGGCCCTCAAGTCAAAAAGTTTGCCCACCCCTGATCTAGGGGCTGCCTGTGCTGCAAGAGCAACTGGAAATTTGGGTTTTTCTGTGACATGTTCAGGCGTTTAGTTGTTGACAACTAACTCGAATTTTATAAGACACTATGTAAGCCAGGCATGCCAAACTTAAAGGCTAACACGGGCCAGATAAACAAGGTTTAAGTTTATGTGGGCCGCAAAAAAACAAAAGCTGCAATTTTCATAGGAACGTAGGTTTATTTCAATAGAGACATGCTGAATATAAAGGGCTGAAATAAATGAGTAATCGTTAGCATAAAATAAAAGAACAAGACAAAATATTAATTTTTATGAAAATGAGCATTAACTTACCAGACACTGAATAACTGCACAAATTAATAAGCATAACGCAAATAAACATATTTTTCTTATTCTCCGAAAGCGAAATATTTCCTGTTGCGCACACCAAACAAGTCAGTCCAAGAATAATGACGTGGCAGTCGCCTGCTAAAATATTTGCTGCTAGTATTAGTGGAGAGAAATGGCGCGCCTGTGCGTAAGGCATGTAAGGGAAATGAATGAAACGATTATAGTAATCACTCGTTAGCGAATGTTGTAGTTCGTTATTAATAACTATGTATAACACGATATTGTAAAAATTAAGTTAAGAAATTTTTAAAAAATGTTTCTTACATACTGTATGTTGGCTGGGCTACAAAAATATTCATTGTGAGCTGTATGCAGCCCATGGGCCACGAGTTTGATATGTAAGCCAATGCAAATATCTGCCAAGAAAATAGACCTGGAGAACATCAGTTTAAGAACATTTTTACAGAAGGCTCCCATATATCTTTAGGAAATTGCTAGGCAGTTTTCTATGTATCTCAGAACAGTGATTTTTTAGAAAACTATTCATGGCCTCCTTTTTAAAAAAATAAAATTACTTCAAAGAAGTGGGCTGCTAACATTTACTTACTGGTTGGCTTGTGTGGAGTGTGTAATCATGAAGAGAGAGAGAACTAAGCCCTTTAATAGCTGTTTACTTTTGTTGTTGTTGTTAATCCCTGCCTGAGGATATTTTTCCATTGATTTTTAGGGAGAGTAGAAGAGAGAGGGAAAGACAGAGAAACACATTAATTGGTTGCCTCCTGCACGAGCCCTGAGCAGTCAGGGCTCGGGCCGGGGAGGAGCCTGCAACCCAGGTAGGTGCCCTTGACCAGAATCGAATCTGGGACACTTCGGGCCACAGGCCGAAGCTTTGTGTACTGAGCCAAACTGGCTAGGGCAATAGCTATTTACTTTGATCTTTTCACCAGCTTGGTGAGGTGAATAAAGCTTGGGCTGCCTTCATTTTGAGGAAATAATCCTCAGAAGTGTCTCTAGCTGCAAAATACAAGGGGATTTTCTGTTGGTTTTAAGTAAGTCTTTTCCTTTTGTTAAATAATTCTTGCTGCTTATGTGAACAGTGATCCTGGAGAAGTGGGCATGTGGTGGTGATGTATTGGGAATGAATATGGGGTGGTGCTCTGCAAAATAATTGAATTAGTAAGGGTGTTCACCCCCGCCCACCCCCCCCCCCCCCCCCGCCCAGTGAAGTGAAAGTATTAAAAATAGGTTACAGAACATTTCATAAGTTTGAAAATTATGCTAGAGAAGAACTAATAAATAGTTATCTCCAATTAATTTCTGGAAAGGTGATTGGAGAATGAGGGCAAGTCTGTGGTAGACAGAATCTGCGCTTTGTGTGTTGCATAAATGGCCTGCTTTGTTGTGGTCTGCGGTGTGTCCCTCGGGGGCTGCCCCAGTTTAGAGTCTGGTGTGCACTGAGGGTGCATGGTGTCAGGCGTCTCAGCTCACTCTTCTCTCCGTTCACGACCTTTTCAGACATTGGACTGGGAAGTGACTCCGTGTGTGCCCGGCCCTCATCTCATCGGATAAAGTCTTTTGACTCCCTGGGATCCCAGCCTTCCCACAGTCGGACTTCAAAATTATTCCAGGGCCAGTATCGAAGTTTGGTAAGTTTAAGAGAGATAGTTATTGAAATTGGAATATGTGGGGAAGTGATTGTGTCTGTAGGTGTATCTGGAGCAATGCACATGCCTCCATTAATAAGAGTTGCAGAGTGAGGGGTGGTTTGATTTTTTCCCATTGTTCCTTTACTTGGGTTTGGCATTTGCTCATCACCAAATTATCCAGATGTAATGCTTAATGACTGCTTTTGAGAAACTTTTGTTATTTTCGGTGTTATATCTTAAGATGCATAATCAGTTTATCTAGAGACATGTGTGCTTTAAAATATTTCTCTGGTCACTTGCATAGTATTTTCTCTCTGCTATGCACAAATATACGGAACTGTAGGAATAAGAAATATATATTTGTAAAATACTTAGTTGCATAAAGAACCAATGGCTGCAAGCTAAAAAGACCTAAGGGTGGTTTTTCTCTTAATAAAGGCATGCCTTAGGGTGCTTTTCTGAGTCAGGATGCAGTATATGAAGGAGGAACTCCTTTGTTTTCTAAATATATATTTTTATTGATTTCAGAGAAGAAGGGAGAGGGAGAGAGAGATAGAAACATCCATGATGAAAGAGCATCATTGATAGGCCGCCTCCTGCAAGCCCCCCACTAGGGATCGAGCCCACAACCTGGGCATGTGCTCTGATCGGGAATCAAACTCTGACCCCCTGGTTCATAAGTCGATGCTCAACCACTGAGCCATGCTGGCTAGATGGAGGGACTTCTTGGTTATGAGCGGTAATGAGGTGGGGGGAAAACTTAGACTAACAGTCATCTTGGAAAGTAAAGAAAAATCCATTTATAAATCATCAGGGTAGAGGCTATTAACAAAGAACACAGGATTAACAGTGAAATTGTTACTGAGAAACTGGGGAAAAATTAAATATAATACTGAACAGAGAAAATGTATAAAGAGGCCATCACATCAGCTGACCAGTATGAGGCTGCTCCCTGTTGTCATTGTGAAAAAACTCTGAGCCCTCTTTTGAGCTAGTGGATGACTGGCATTTACTTTGATTAACGAGTGATGTGACTTTGCTTTCATGCAACATTTTAGTAAATTATTTTCTGTTAGAAACATAAATGATCTTGTAACCGGAGTCTGAAGAGAGGCCGATTCTTGTAGAGTTTTTAGGGACCAGATCTTTCTATCTACTTCAACATAGAAAGTAATATTGTTAAACTAATGGTGAATCTAAAAAAAAATAATAATAATAATTTAGTTAGAGTTGTATTTTATAGAGGGAAAGAAATTTAAGTTTAGTTCACGAAGCCATGTTAGAAACTGAAAGCTAAAGAAGGAACATAGTTTTTACATGTTCCTGCAGTTTTGAACTCAAGCTAACACTGATTGCTATTTATCTTTGACTGTTTTATTTTTCTTAGAGAAGTTCTATTATCCTGTTTCTGATTTTGTGTTCAATACAGCATGCTTTGAGTTGTTTTTCTGTGCCAGACATTGTTCTAGGTCCTTTACTTGGACTCAAATAACCCTTACAGGATCCCCTGAAGTTAAGAGTTTAATGGTAGAGAAATTTTGCAGAGTGTTGGAAGCATTATAATGCCAAATTAAGAAAAAAAAATATACAAACTACTTGAAAAATATTTTTTTATGAGAGGATTAAAAATACATCTTTATATTTTTTTCACATTTCAACTCCACTAAAATTATTTTTTATTCAGCACATACTAAATAACTGGCACTTCACCGACCTTTACAATGAGCTATTTCTTAGTAATAATAGATAGCTGTAGCACTTGCTTGGGTTCTGCACATATTTTGAAAAATATTTTAAATTAGCTTTATTTAAATACATGAACAAAATGTAAGAGAGATCGGCAAACTCTGGGTGAAGAAATATTTATTGTCTCACCCATTTACCCTTGGCAATTTTCATATTTTTTGTTTTTGAGTAAATAAAAACTGGATTGCAAATGTATAATTTGAAGTAAAATATAGTTAAATGTAGTGTTGGTAGTGAATGTTACTGAGATCACAGTAAGTATAGGATTAATTTTTCATTAGCTAAAGAAATTTTTTAAGTTACTCCAAAATTAAAAAGACCTCAGTCATCTCACCTGCGTTTGTGTCTATGATTGGTAGACAGTTATCTGCTAGTGAAATGAACATGGAAAGATTTTTCTTACCATGCCAGGTAAGAGTAATTATTTGCCTTAGATTTTTTTATGTGTTATTAATAGTAATTTTCTTACATTAAAAATAATTTCTAATGAAACAAGATTGGTAAAATTTTTAATTAAAGCTGGGTGATGGTAACATGGAAGTGTATCTATCATTCTCTAAGTTTGTGTTAGAAATTTTCCATAATAAAAATGTTAAGCTAAAAAAGCAACTTGTGCCCTAACTGGTTTGGTTCAGTGGATAGAGCATCGGCCTGCAGACTGAAAGGTCCCAGATTCAATTCCGTTCAAGGGCATGTACCTTGGTTGCGGGCACATCCCCAGTAGGAGGTGTGCAGGAGGCAGCTGATTGATGTTTCTCTTTCATCGATGTTTCTAACTCTCTATCCCTCTCCCTTCCTCTCTGTAAAAAATCAATAAAAAAAATATTAAAAAAAATAAAAAATAAAAAAGCAACTTGTAGTTTCTTGAACATTATGTGACCTCATTAAAATAAAGCTGAGCTTTGAGATTTTGTAAGGCACTACCATCCCCAAAGCAAGGATTAGTATTTTCAAGATGTAATTGCTTACATCTCTATTTAAGAATGTCTCGCCTAATTACCACCTTGGTGCTGGTTGTCTTTATAATGTTGCTTCAGTGTCTGTGAACTTATCATCTGTCTGTTCTAGGACAGATTTCCTGCCTTGTGATGAAGGCAGATTTGAAAAGTTCTAGTGTTTTGTTGTTGAGTTCACAAAATGTTTTTCCAAGGCATGCAAGACAGTAAAATGTATTACACATGTACTTAAAAAAATATTTTTAGTTCCTCTCTACCATAAACATAGAAAATAATTATGCTTCTCTAATGTGCCATATTTAATCAATTCTATGACCTTTTTATTAAAAAAATTTTAATATGTCTGAAAGTAGCATGTGCTTTATAGTTGATATTATAATTGATAGTATTTGGTGGAATATAAAAACCACAATATATTGTCTAATTTCTGGCATCTTATATTTGACTAGGTTCCCAGTGCACAAATTCGTGCACCTTGAGAGGAACTGTGGGCCGCGAGGCTGCGGTAGGCACAGGGGCGGGTCTCGGCCCATCCTCCGTGCCCCCACCTGGCCCTTCCTGCCGCGTCCCCCGGTCCCCTGTCTGCCGGCAGCCCCCAACCTGCCAGTCCCGCTTGGACCCGCTGATGGCATGGAGTGATTGGGGCCCGTGCCAGCAGTGGGTGCGAGCGGGGCCGGCACTGTCAGCGGGTCTGAGTGGCAGCTGCTGCTCCGATTGCCCCTCAGGAGCAGGAGGAGGTGGAGAAGCCTTTGGGGGCAGTCAGGGCCAGCAGTTGCTGCTCACACCCACTGATGGCGGGGAGTGATCGGGACCGGCGCCGGCAGTGAGTGCGAGCGCCGGGCGAGACTGTGGCGCGCGGGAGCAAAGAATTTTCAGTAATCACCCGAGGCTCGCCCTGATGACAACGACTGGTGCTCTACCTTAGTCTGGTGCCCTCACTCACCTGCTCCACCATCCCGCCGCGGCCAACGCCCGCTATGTTCTGCACACACCCCCTGTTGGTCAGCGCACGTCATAGTGACCAGTTGTTTGGTTGTTTTGGTTGTTTTGCTGGTTGGTCTATTTGCATATTAGCCTTTTATTATATAGGATGAAATACTTTATGAGAAAACTGAAGCTTAGAGAAATTAAGATATGTATTTACCAAGATCACAGGACTGGGAGATAGTTAACCATTGGAGTAGAAATTGGGTCTTTCACTCCTCAACAACCTTTTATTCTATAAATAAGATTATAGGTACTTTTAGGGAGTGGAGGAGAGGGTGGAGTTTATGTGAAGACAGCACACCAGGATGTCCTGGTTCTGGATTATTAGGATAATTACAGAACATTGGATAAAACAAAGAACTTAAGTTACAGAGGTGAGATACTGATGGTGGTGCCTTGTCTATAGGAATCAGAAATAGACCATTAAGAATGAATGTGGTGGGTATAGATTACTGTTTCCAGAGGAGGTACCCTGTGTGTGCCCTACCTGGTTGTGGGGGTCACCTTTTCCCTTTTCATTTTCCTTCCATCATTAACTTATATTGATATGTAACATACATATAGAAAAGTGTGTGCCAAAAAAAATAATAATAAGAAAAGTGTGTATCCTAAACAAACTGCTTGATGAATTTGCACAAGTTGAACATTTCCAGTGTGTAAGCACCCAGATCAAGAGACAGAATTTGACCTGCCTTTGTTGTGTCTGCTTTTCCCAAGGGCACCTGCTGTTCTGATTTCTTTTCTTTTTTTTAAACATTTAGTAATATTTTAATAACACAAGGTAAATAACGCCTAGTGAATTTTAATATATATTTAAGCCGCCTCTTTGCACTAGGGAGAAAGGGAGTTGAGATTTTTTTTTGGTGGTGACTTTTTTTTCTGATTTCTAATAGTAAAGATGAGTTTTACCTGTTTTGTGTTTTACATAAGTGGAATTCCACAGCATATACTTATTTTATAACTGGCCTCTTCTGCTCAGCTCTTTATGTTTTAGACTGTTGTGGAGTGTCATGTTGAGCCCAGATAGATGATGAGGTATAGTTTCAGAAGAACTTTTTAAAAAAGGGGAGAGAAAAATTCTAAAGTAATAGATAGTGATTAAATACATCCTTTCCAGATTCCTGTGACACTAGTGACAGTGACTAGAGCACTCTTGACTCCGCCGTTGTGATGTTAGGCTGAAATTGGTGTGTAGAGAGTCCCTGGAATACAGCTCTTTGTAGTGTACCCTCCTTTCAGCCTGTCTTTGGCATCTTCCCCTCTAATCATCACTCTTTAGAGTAACATTGTAAAAGTCTGTATATACTTCAC